GTGTGTGTGTGTGTGTGTGTGTGTGTGTGTGTGTGTGTGTGTGTGTGCTATGCTCAGCAACCCCACACATCACAGACATGGCAGTGCATGTCACCCTAGTGCTAAGGAGGTAAATAGAGATAGGACTTTTAGAGCTTGCTCTAAAGCCACTGTAGTGGAATCGGTGAGTTCCAGGTTCATTCAAAATATGTCTTAAAAAGTAAGATAGAGAGGGAGCAAGAGAGACACCCAGAGTGGACTATGGCCTCCACATGTCCACAGAGACATGCACACAGACAGACATACACACACGAAACATCTTTCTGTCGATTGAAAGTTTGAACATCGTTTAAATGGAGAGGAATACTTTTTTAAAAAAGTTACCATGTAGATTAGTTTTCTTATATTGTCATACATTTGATATTTTGAATTCTTAAAGTGTAATCCTCAAATACTATAGTAGCTTGAATAACTTTAAAAACAGAATTTTGAAAAAAAATTTTTAACTTACTTTCTCTGGAGTGCAGAGAATCTCTGAACCGAGGTGGGAAACAGGAGAAAGCAGTGTTCGGTGCTGCTTGGGAGCATGCTGGATTTTACAGGTCTTCAGTAGTGCTATGTGAAGATGCTCAATAGCTTTCATGAGGAGAGCTGCCTGAGAGTCCGCTTTTGTATTTGTACACTGGGCATTCTGTCTCTGAAAGATTTTCATGTGTTCACCTTTCCTCCTCTTTGTAATTGTCCTCAGTAAAAAGATTTACAGTGTTTCTGAGGTTTTTTTTTTTTAAAGTATTGTTCTGTGTATGTCCTTTGCATTTCAAAGCGCATGTAAGTAAGGCATGGGGAAGGTTCCTCTGTCACATCCTTTAACTACCTTGTCTTTGGAAGAACAAGTTTATATTTTACTGTTGCATCTGATTCTTTCTCATGCTGCAGACCATTCATCAAACAGTGCATTCAAGAGCTGCAAGTCTGTTACCCAAGATGATGAATGCTGACATGGATGGTAAGGCTTTGTTCTTCTTTGTGTGTGTGCTTCTGGCTTTCTGTATGCTTTTGCTTTATTAAGCAATGGAAAGGGCAGGGAAACAATCTTTATAAGGTTTAGGTTAGCTGGGCAGTGATAGCACATGCTTTTAAACCCAGCACTTAGGAGACAGAGACAGGTTGATCTCCAAGTTTGAGGCCAGGCTGGTCTACAGAGAGTTCCAGGACAGCCAGGGCTACATAGAGAAGATTTAAGTGTAGCTTTTTTCCCATTTACTTTAGAAAGCATCCAAGGTGACTTCCGTTCTGTAACTGTATGGCAAGTTCAGCTTAGTGCCCATCTACCCTGAAGTGTACATGGTAATTAAGACAATGGTTATAAAATGTTCTGCAGAATTTTAAGTGCTGCATGCCAAAACAGTGTTTATTAATAATAAATTTAACATTTTTGATTACAGCAGTTGATGCTGAAAATCAGGTGGAATTGGAAGAAAAGACTCGACTTATTAATCAGGTGTTGGAACTCCAACACACACTTGAAGGTTAGACTGCATTTAGTAGTTTTTGTGAATGGCATCCAGGTAACTTCAGAGTCCATGTTAGTAGTTGGTGGGGTTTTACTTGTTTGCTTTGTTTTTGTTTTTTGTTATTTTGTACATGTGGGCAGATGTGTGTGCAGGGCACTCTTATGGAATCAGAGGCTGACCTGTGGGCCCATTCCTCCTATCACGTGGATCTTGGAACTGAACTCAGGTCACCAGGTTTGGGTTGCAGGTGTCTTTACAGCGAGCCATGTTGCAGGTCCCAATCGTTTTCTCTTTCTTGCCGTTGTCTACAGCCCTGCCTGGTGGTCTAAAGGACACATTTGCCTCAGTAAGATTGGTCACTGCTCTCATGTGTCCTCTTTAAGGTGTTGGCAAGATGCTGGCTTACCGCGAGAGCTCTTTTTTACTCTGGCAGTGTGTTCCTAAGCCTGCTTCAGGAAGGCCCTATTAAGATGAAAAGAAACATTACTTCCAGAGATTCAAACTGGTGGGAGATTTGTTTCCATTTCCTAATTTCCTTCCATCAAATTACTAGTGCCACCAACATGTCTTCTGTGGCCAGTGTCATTAAGTATTGTTAAGTTTGGGGCACAAAGTGAGCAATAGCTTCTCATTTGACAGTGACCGTCAGCTCTACCCAGACTGTCTGATTTACAGGCCTTCTTTAGTTGCATTTCTGTGTGACTCATTTTCTCAGTTCCTTCAGGCCTCTGGTCAAATTACCCTTAGAGAATAGTTAACTCTAAAAAGACTGCTCGCATCCGGGCCATGATGGTGCAGGTCTTTTCGGGAGGCAGAGGCAGGTGAATCTCTGTGAGTTCAAGGCCAGCCTGGTCTACAAGAGCTAGTTCCAGGACATGCTTCAAAGCTACAAAGAAACCCTGTATCGAAAAACCTAAATAAATAAATAAATACCTTCTCATCTGCTTTTATGACCCTTAGCCATTTTTCTTTTTCTCCACAAAAAGTGTGACATACTGTATATTGACATGCTCAGTGTTTCCTCCTGACACCTGGGTGCCCATGTTATGAATGCACGTGTGCTCACATGTAACCATGCTCACTGCTGCCTCTAGAATGGTGCCTGCTTCTGTTGTCACTGCACATTTGTGAGGTGTGTGGATGGAGATGACTTTGCACTTGCTCCCTAGGACCGACATCTGTTGAATTATTAACTAATGTTTAATTGCTGCTTGGGTCTCACAGAATCTCTATAGGAATCTAGCTGTGTTAAGCTGCAGATCATAAATGTTTTCAGTAAAGACATTATAGTTTCATGTGGCAGGACATGGACCTTTATAAACACAGTGTTGTCTAACCACTGTAAGAGTTAACATGAATGCTGTCTACAGACTGAGTCCCTGGGAAACTCTGTCAACAGGCACCATCTTCTGACTTATACTCAGTAAATTCTTTTTGCTTAAGTCTTTAACCCCATTAATCTGAATTGAAAAGCAGAAAATTTATGAATTGTGATACCTATTTATTGGTGGTGCTTGGGGTCAAGTCCAGGGTCTCATACGTGAAGGCAAGGAAACTGGGAACACCCTTAGCCTTGTCTCAATGTTTTAAGAAGGAATCTTGCATTTCATAACATGGAATAATTGACATGATTTTATTGATAATTATATTTTTGTTTTTTTTTTAATATAGATCTTTCTGCAAGAGTAGATGCAGTTAAGGAAGAAAATCTGAAGCTAAAATCAGAAAATCAAGTTCTTGGACAATATATAGAAAACCTCATGTCTGCTTCTAGTGTTTTTCAAACAACTGATACAAAAAGCAAAAGGAAGTAAAGGGTTCACCTCCCTCTTGTCATGGAGTTGCTGCTTTTTCTTTTCTTTAAAGCTTGGATATGATCCAGAAGTTACAGTATCCTCCTTTGCTTCCTTGAGTATTTATAAAGAGAATGTCAGATCTAGGTAATATTAACTGCTTAACAGGAAACATCCCTAAGTTAACATTATATGTATTACGTTAGTCTATGACAATGTGCAAATGTAGAGACTTTATAATTAGAATTACAGATATTTATGAAACTTGAAGATGAATGTTTTGCCAATTTGCTTATATATATATATAGGTTTAGCGCTGTCTTTTATCATATGCCTAACTCGTAAAATACACAAGAGAATAACCATGTTGTGACAAAGTGACCAAAACCATGTACTGAATGCACAGCTCTGTACCTTGTCCACCGTCGTGTGCCTCTCCTCCATCTGCCTCTTCCTGCCCATCTCCCTGACAGTAACCTGAGTAGTTGTCACCTACCAGAGCAACCTGAACTGTAATTGTTGATTCTTAACCAAAATAAGACATTTTCTTAGCTAAAGCTTGCCATTTGTGATATTTAGTAATAAGATAGGATTGCTGGTTTCTCTTTAATCAACTGAAAATAGATTGAGCTATAAAATATGAAGATTTTCTTTGAAATGTAAATTATCACATTGAGAAACTCAGCACTCTCTTTTGCACAAAATAGCCCATTTGGTGTTGAAAAGATGAGAGTGCTGGTCACGTGTATGTGAAAAATAGAGAATCTTGAGGAAAGATAGAAAGGGGGGCAAACTGGATAAACAGAAGTAACCAGCTCCAAATACTTATCCTCTGGCCCACAGCTGCACTTTTGGGACAGTATGAGATCAGACTAAGTCTGACTGACATAAGCGGGTTAAGTAAGCCACAGGTCAGAGAGAGACCAGTTAAGAATTTGGTCTCAAGGTTTGTTTGTACCCAGGAGACCTTTTGCAAAATGAATTGAGAGTATATTAGTATCAGAATCATGAATATAAGAGAGTTTTGTATATGTGATACTTTTTAACCTTAGTATTTTATCTCAGTTGTTTTCCCAGAAGTTTTGTAAACTCAGCTATGTTGTTTGCACAATTTTAGTCATTTCTTTCAATAATTTTTAAAAATTTAGTTTGTAGCTTTCATTTGATAAAGGAGTTGATATTGAAAGTAATATTGAAATGTTATAATAGGGAAGATCCACTAATGCAGCTGATGGCTCTTAGATTGGGCTGTGTTGACTCGTGGAATTATCTAATGTATTAGTGGCTTTAGCTATATGGACATGTAATCCTCACATTGCAGATATTTTGCAACCCTTTTGTGACTGCATTACAAATATTTAAAATTGTGTTCAGGTTATGCTTTGCTGTTTAATAAAAAGCTGTTTCAGAGGTTGTGTGTGTTTTGATACAGTTGCTAAGTAAATGTGCCATTGTACCCTTGGTTTTTAGTGCCACAGTGTAATAATATATCTTATGTAAGCATCCAAGACTGCTACAACAGTAACCTTTTATTAAGTGTTTCAGGAGCTTACCTAGCTAGCTGGTAAGTTCCAAGGAAGGGGCTGTGTTTGGGTTAGGCTCCTACCCTCTATTGTTCCCAGCCTAGCTGGCTCTACTGCACAGATTGTTCTGCATCTCCAGTTACACTATTCCATTCACAGGAAAGAAAATGGGAGTGTGCAGAGTCTAGGTGTTACGGGCTCTAACTTGAAATGGCACGGGCCTCTATACATCCAAAGTCTAGGGTGACTGATAAATGATTTCTTCCCTGGGAAGCCATGTGTGGCTACAGCTTATCCCTGTGGAAGGAGGTGAAGGACCTGCCACTAGCAGTCCAGCTGCAGCTTAATCTTTTGCTACAGAGTATCTGGAACTACTTTCCCTCACAGAGAACGCATCCCAGCACCCCTGATCTAGTTAAATGGTAAGCTCAAAATCCAAGAGCTCTCTTGAGATCCCTCAGTTTACCTGTTCTCATTCTTCCCTGGTCTAGAGTATTATGGGACAGAGTGGTCAAGGAAAAGTTCTCAATATGGAGAGTGAGCGGAGTCAAAATAAATCTTCAGATTTGAGGCGATTGTGGAATACCTTGCTGTAGACCTGATCTGATCAAGATTTTCCTTTTTCAGCATCTCTTGTGCTTCTCATCCCAGACGTTATTCTGTTCCACCCCATCCCACCCCTCAGGCTGGGAAAGCAGTTCAGTTATTGACTGGGACTTGGTGCCCATTATTTTAAGTCAGGCTCCAGGTTTTTTTTTTTTTTTATTGTTTTTTCTTTTGCTAGTATAACCTCAAACAAACATGAAGCTTTATAACTGGTTCACCTTCATTCCCTGTTTGATTTTGGTTGCACAGAGGTCAGAGGACAACCTGTAGGAGTCCTTTCCTTCTACCATGTGGGTTCTGGGGACCAAGCTCAGGAGGTCAGGTTGTACCCTAACTGATGTGGGATGTCCTAGATATGTGTTGTTTTTATTGTTTAATGAATAAAACTGTTGGGCACCCTGACAGCTCTTAGGACTGGAGAGGGAGGAGGAGGGGGAGTGGGAGGGAAATGGGAGGAGGGGAGGAAGTAGAAATTTTTAATAAATAAATAAAAGGAAAAAAAAAGAAAAAAATGAATAAAGCTGTTTGGACCAATGGCTCAGCAGAGTAAAGCCAGACGGGAAATCAGAACAGAGATAGAGTAGATGGAGTCAAGGAGACGCCGTGTTGCTGCCGAAGGAGAAAGATGCCAGATCCTTACCAGTAGGCCACAACCTTGCAATGATATGTAGATTAATAGAAATGGATTAATATAAGATGTAAGAGCTAGCTAGGAATATGCCTGAGTCATTGGCCAAACAACGTAATTAATACAGTTTCTGTGTGATTATTCGGGTCTGGGCAACCAGGAAATGAATGAACAGTCTCCCTTTACATCTAATGAAAGTCATCTTTCTTTGAAGCCGTTTGTCTGTGTCAGGCCCAGTCAAGCTCTCTTCAGCCTTGACTTGTAAGCGTTTCCCCTGCTAGGATTTGACTTCCTAATAGAGGAGACTACCTTGGGACCAACTGAAATGCAAGGAAGACAGCTCTGGCCAGAGCAGAGCTACAGGCTGGAGGTGGGGTCCTTTTGGTGTAACAAGTACCAGAGAAATAGTTTTCTTTTACTTTTTAAAACAATCTTTTAAATTGAAAATTCACTCAGTATATTCTGATCACAGTTTCCCATCCCCCACCTCTCAGGTCTTCCATTTACCCACCCATCTAACTCCACACTATAGGTACACAGGTTCCCCATTTTTCCTGAGGCGCTTTGCAGGGCTGTTCTGCTTCCTGGTTCCACTGCATCAGCTTGAGGGTATAGCATAGAACTGCCCTCTCCTGTTATGTTAATTTCACCTACGGCCCAAGGGTGTAGCTTAGAGAGAACTCTCCCTTTACTGTTATGGTAATTCCACCTGCAAGCAAGGTTCTCGCAGCAGGCAAGGTTCCCGGTCAGCCTTTCTCTGAGCCTGAGCACGCCCACCTGGCTTCCTCTCTTCTCTATTCAGCTGCTCTCCGACCTTGGGTGCGGCCCCCTGACTTTTCTCTTTCCCTGTTCCTGATGGGGGGCTGGTGTCTTTCTGCCCCACAGTATATATACCCGACTTATCCTTAATAAAGTGGCCATTTACTCTTGTAGATGAGCCAGGTTTCTTTTGTGTGTGTGTCTCTTTTTTCAACCCTCAGGACAATCGTCCCTTCTCGTGGGCCCGAGTTCAGGAAGCGCGCAGCCTGGGTCGGGCATGGGTATCCATTGGAAAGTGCAGACTCTTACACCACACCTCTCTGGTTTTTCAAGACAGGGTTTCTCTGTTAGCCTTGGCTGTCCGAGAACTTGCTCTGTAGACCAGGTTGGCCTTGAACTGACAGAGATCTACCCATCTCTGCCTCCTGAGTGCTGGGATTAAAAGTGTGCATCACCACTGCCTGGCTCTTTTCCTTTCTATGGAAAACATTTTCAAAACAGGCAAATAAACCATAGTAGTGAAACAGCAAAAAGGGATAAGCACGAAGAAGCATGGAGACCTGAGTGGGCATGGTCAGCATATATGTAACACTAGCCTTGGGGGTGGGGGAGGGAGCATAGGTGGGCAGACCTCTTGAGCTCTCAGACCAGTCAGTTTAGCCAATAGATGGGTTCTAGGTTCAGTGATAGACCTGTTCCATAAATAAGGAGAAGAGTGATAGAGGCAGACACCACACATTGACCTATGGCCTCTCCACATGCATGCACACACTGCCACATGCACACACTTGTACACCACACACAAAATATAGGTGGGAAACGACATAGTGTCTATTTCTGACCCAGTCTTTCCTTGATTCAGTGACCAACAGACCTTAGAGTTCTCATCTAACCTTATCAATTGCCTGATCCAGCAAGAATTCTGCCAGGGCAGTTCCGTTCAGAGAGTCCCTCAGCTGCCACAGGTGAGGTGACAACCCAGGCCTGCCCTCAGCAGTAACGTTTAGCAATAATCCCCTTACGGATGCTTCTGCTTAGTATATTTCCATTCTCCAACCCTCCAGCTCACTAATCTCTGCTTGCTACACTAGTAGCTGAGGTCCTCTTAGCAATCTCAAGTCTTGCCACGCAGCACAGCACTCCTGCACAGTGGTGTTAATTTTCTCTACTACTTTTCTCTCTGTGGTGCTGGAGTGATGCCTGTCAGGAAACAGCAGCAAGCTGCCTGTTAAGGACCAGATGTGTCCTTAAACACACTGAAATCGTGACACACAATGGGATGGAATTGGGCCGTGTAACCTTAGAGAAAGACATGATGAAGGCAGAGCAACCGTAGAGAACCCGCTTGCCACTTAAGGGCACAGGAAAAGAGCACACTCAGCAGCTGGGAGGAGGGCCCTCATTGGAGCCCGGCTGCATAGGCACCGTGTCTTACTTGGCCTCCAGGACTGTGAGGAGTGTGTTTCACTGTTGTTCAGAAGCCACCTAGGCTGTAGTGTTTTGTTATAGCAGCCAGACAGAAGGTGGCACCTCCCACCAGGTCCTTCAATCCTGACACTATCATATTTCTGCTGCTCACTATTTACGGGGTACCGCAGACCTTACAGAACCAGATGCTTCGGGATTTGGCATGTTTCAGATTTTATAAACTGTTATGACTTATATAGGGACACAATTTGGAGCAGTTTATGTCTGCATCAGAATCTATGAGAATCTGATAGTTGGGAGAAAGAATGAGTATATAAAACAGAAGCGCAGAGAAAAGCCCAGCTAGCAGGTCAGGCCGGGCTGCCGAGTGAGATGGTGTTCAGGCGGTGAAGCTGCTTGTGCAGAGATCGCCCTTTCCTTTGAAACTGTTCTTAAAGCAGCAAACGCTTTTGATGTAAAAGTGGCCGACATCAGCTGAGCACTCATCTCCTCTCACAGGTCCGAATACCTCACCCTTATTCCTGCCAGTTCTTTCCCCTTTAATACGTGGTCCTTCCATAGGATAAAAATGAGAGTAGAACCAGGCAGTGGTAGCGCACGACTTTAGTCCCAGTGCTCTGGGAGGCAGAGGCAAGAGGATCTCTGAGTTCGAGGCCAGCCTGGTCTACAGAATGAGTTCCAGGACAACCAGAGCTGTTACACAGAGAAACCCTGTCTCAAACAAAAAAGCCATAAAAAATAGAATTTTAGAACCTAAGATTAATTTTATGGTCAGAAACAAAGAGAAGTGGGTCTTAACTCTTTAGCTTTAAGCTTCACTTTGTCCGATAGTGCTAACACCCACTCCTGACTGTTGCCAGGAACTTCTCAGTGCTGTCATAACCGATATAACCACTACCAAGTCTCAGAGGTTGTTTTCATTCTTAAGATCGCTTGCAAAGAGCCTGTCACATGACAGCTGCAAACAGACGGACGGAAGAGTGACAGCCTTGCCTCTTAGCTACTTCACCCAGAAAACTACAACAGGCTCCACCAAACCCAGAGATTTGTGGAATTTAAATGACAAATTTACTGTAACAAAGACTTAGGTTGACTCTATGACAGCGTCTCTCTAGGTGACCCTGGCTGTCCTGGAACTCACTGTGTAGACCAGGGTAGCCTCAAATGCACAGAGACCCACCTGTCTCTGCCTCCCGAGTGCCACCGCACTCAGCCCAGAGTCTGTCTTATGCCATAGGAGTTTTGAGGAGTGGTACTAGAAGCTGAACTCATACACTCTAACCAGTTACAGTGGTTATCTTGTTTTAAGGTTTCCCAAAGATTTATCAAATGTCCGTTATTAAAATTTGAAAGTAACCCTAAGTCTCGACAAAACATATAAAAGACACTATGGCAGGCACGTAAAGATGGTTTTCTGGCTGTCCTACTGTCTCCTGGACTGCCCTCACTATTCTGTGCACTAGGGCCTTCAGAGACAGACTAAATGTTCCCACAGTGGCTGGAGAGAAGGCTTGGTGTTAAGCTCACACCATTCTTGCAAAGTTCCCAGCACTTGCATGAAATCTTGCAACCTCCTGTAGCCACAGCTCCAGGGCGTTCCCAGGTAAATGTTACCCCATGCAGAATACATATAAGTAAAAAATAAAAAGTCTTTAAATATATTTCCAAGTTTATGTTTTCTCCCGTCAGCTCGTCTCATTTAAACTGTCAAGAGGAGATGATTTCTGTGGTGGTTTGGCATAATGGTTAACGCTGTACACTCTGAATCCAGCGATCTGAGTTCGTATCTCGGTGGAACCTGTTCCTTGAGGAAGAGACCTGGTCAGACACCCTCATCAAATCAGACCACGAAATCCAATGTAAATGGGCTGCCTTGCATGCTTCAGCATTGCTGGGGGCATGTTTCACTTCACTTCTTAAATGAGAATGGCATCCATAAGCATACATACTGAATACTTGGTCCTCAGATGGTAGAACTGTTTGGGAAGGATTAAGAGGTGTGACCTTGTTGGAAGAGGTTGTATCACTGGGAAGTAGGCTTTGAGATGTCAAAAGATTTATGCTGCACTGGCTAGTGTTGGGTGTCAACTTGACACAGGTTAGAGTCAGTTGAGGAAGTGCCTCCATAATATCCAGTTGTAAAGCATTTTCTCAGTTAGTGATCTATGAGGGAGGACCTAGCACATGGTGGGTGGTGCCATCCCTGGGTCGCTAGTCCTGGGTTCTATAAGAAGGTGGGATAAGCAAGCTAGGAAAAGCAAGCCAGCAAGCAGCTCCCCTCCATGGTCTCTACATCAGCTCCTGCATCCAGGATCCTGCCCTGTTTGAGTTCCTGTTCTGACTTCCTTCAATGATGGAGAGCAATGCTTAAGAGTAAGCCAAATAAACCCTTTCCTCCCCAACTCGTTTTTTGGTCATGGTGTTTTGTTGAGGCAATAGAAAGAAATCTTAATTGAGACATATGACATTCTCAGTGTGTTCTCTGTCTCTTACTTGCAGACCAAGGTGCAAGTTCTCAGCTGTTCCTGTTACCATGCCTTTGCTGTAATCTTCTGAAACCCTAAGCCCAAATTAAACTCTTTTATAAGTTTCCTTGGTCATGTCTTATCACCGAAGTAGAAAACAAAAATGAAGACAGCTTTATTTCCTAACCTCACACTGCCGGAAAGCGTGGGACCTAGATGCTTTAGGAATAAATGATTGAGACTGTTTGAAATATGTTTTATTATACAACAGATTTAAGAAATTGCCTAAGCTGGGTGATGGTGGTGCACGCCTTTAATCTCAGCACTCAAGAGGCAGAGGTAGGCGGTAGGTAAGTTCGAGGCCAGCTGGGTCTACATGAGCTAGTTCCAGGACAGGCACCAAAGCTACACAGAGAAACCCTGTCTCAAAATACAAAACACAACAACAACAAAACAAAAATGTTGTCTAAGTCACTTGATATCTCATCTCTCATCTTGCTAAAGGTAAACATATAGCCCAAATCTAAGAGATCTCACAGGTGTGTCCGGAGTGTGAGAGACGTGTTGTCTGTTCTCAACAGCTTCTGCTGCACACAAACATTTTACATGCATGCATGCACACACATAAGGACAACTTTGGAATTCAGATCTCTCTGCCTTGCCATGCCCACATGGCAAGCACTTTTGCCCACTGAGCCATCTCCTTTGATCAATGAAATCATTTTGAGAATTCTAGATTCTCTGGTACACTGAATGCATCGCAGTGGTTCATCTCACTCTAGCACTTCCATTTGTGTTCCTCCAAATGGAGATGGACACTAATGTCATTCTGGAGAAATGGCCAGTGGAAGGGAGCCTTGCTGAAGAGTGTTTTCTGGGAAAAGCAGCAGAGGCTGGAGAGCTGGCTCAGTCATTAAGAGCAGGAGCTGCTCCCGCAGAGACCAGGGCAAGAGCTCACAACCTCCTGTGACTCCAGTTCCAGGGCGTCTGGCGCCCTCTTTGGGTCTCCACGGGTTCCTGCACCAAGAGTTTATGCACGCTGGAACACGGCCCTGGGGAAAACAGTCACTCTGCTTTTGCAACACTCTGAAAGATGTGAACAGTCTCATTGGCTCCGCTCAGTCTCCTTTCAGAAGGTGAAGCTAGGGTGTATTTCCAGTGTGGGAGTTCTGAGCACACCTATGCAAGGGAGCTGTTGAAAGGTGGGGTGTGCGTATCTACAAAACCCCAACCATAAAAGTTCCTTCCCCAGGAGCTCAGTATTAAGTCGTCCTCTTATCTTCCTGGAGACTCGAATGGCCTTTTGAAAGGTTGACACACGCTGCTCAAGAGTGAAACATTCTTCAGGAAAACATTTTGAGTAAAACAACACTGAAAAGGTAGCTCTTTGGGGCACCTATGGGAGGAGAGATGAGCAACTTGGAGTCTGCCTGAGGGACTAGCAACAGGCACTGACAGAGGTCCTGATCGTCTAACCAGTGAGGGGCGACCATGCAATGCCACTGGATCTGGACACAGCCTAGGTACTGGGAAGAAGGTATATAAGGTTCTTCCCATTACTGAATTAATGAACCTGCTGTTTGCTTTTTACCTGACTCCAGATGTCTATGCTATTGACTGCTGTGGGACAATGGTCTGTACCCTGTCACTAGAGTTTTAAATAAATGCTGATTGCTCGGTGGCCTGGGATGGGGGGGGGGAAGGAGGAAGGATGAATATGGGATCAGGGAAGAATATATTTCAACTAAGGGAGTCATTTTAGGGTTTACAGGAGACTTGATTATATATGGGATTCCAGGTCCAAGGAGAGATCCCCAGATTTCTCTCTGGACAGAGGAGAGGGTGCCTGAACCGGCCTTGGCCCATAACCATACTGATGTATATTTTGCTTATCACCATAGATCCTTCATCTGGCGAAGGACGGCGATAAAGTCGGAGACCCACATTGGAGCACCGGACTGAGCCCCCCGAGGTCCAAATGAGGAGCAGAAGGAGGAAGAACATGAAAAACGGAATCAGTACTGCGAGGGATGCTATCACCCACTGATACAAGGAAACGGATCTAATGAGAGTTTACCAAGGCCAGTTGGACTGGGACTGAACGAGGACGTGATCTAACCAGATTCTCGGAATTTGGCCGGATTCTCTGACTGTGGCTGGCCCAAAGTCTTTCTGAAAAGCCATTGACTATGATACTGGGACCTGTTTCCTCTGCATATTCTGGATTTTGGGGATCCAGTCTGTTTGGATACTCACCTTCCTGGACCTGGAGGGAGGAGGGAGGAACTTGAACTTCCCACAGGGCAGGAAACCCTGACTGCCCTAAGGGACGAAGAGGGAGGAGGAGAGGGAGTGGGGGGAGTGGGAGGGTGTTGGGAAGAGGGGAGGAAATGGAAACTTTTATAATTTAATAAAATTTACTTTCAAAAAAATAAATAAATAAATAAATAAATAAATGCTGATTGACCAGGCAGGAAGTAGAGGCGGGTAATGAGAATTCTGGGAAGAGGGAAGTTTCAGTCTGCAGTCGTCACCCAGACAGAGTGGAAGCCAGGCACAGAGCAAGCAAGATGTGATTGCCTCACCGAAAAAGGTACCAAACCATGTGGCTAACACAGACAAGAATTATGGGCTAATATAAGTTATAAGAGTTGATAAGAAGCCTGAGATACTAGGCCAATCCATTTATAATTAATATAGACCTCTGTGTGATTTCTTTGTGACTTAATGACTGTGGAAACCAGGCAGGACAGAAACCTCAAACAACAATCGACTCTGTGCCTTCTCACCTCCTCCCCTGAGGGAGGCGTTAGGACCCAGCAAGTAGGCATCTGTCTCTCTCAGATACAGCTGTGAGGATGAAACAGACTCAGAATATCTGTGACCTCATTAGCAGAAACTTACGATAAAAAAGACAGAGCTGAAGAATCATCAGAATCCTGCAAAAATAAATGAAGCCTTCGCAGTAATGATTCCTATGGAGTGGATAATTTAAATGAGAAACTACCGAGCCGTGGTAGCACACGCCTTGAATCCTAGCACTTGGGAGGCAGGAGCAGGTAGATCTCTGTGAGTTTGAGGGCTGCCTGGTCTACAGACTTCCAGAATGGTCAGAGCTACAGCCAGGCTACACAGAGAAACCCCTTCTTGATAAACCAAGAAAAAATTAAATGAAAAAAATATTTAAATTTTATTTCAAGAGTGGTAAGTGCACACAGTTTCATGAATGAGGTAAGCCATTTGGCATGAAGTGGCTACAGAAGCTTGAAAAATGTCTATCCATTATAATATGACAAGCCTATTATCTGTGTTGCATGCAGAATACGCTTGCATAGTACCCAGTGATTGCGCGAGTGACGCTTGAACATTTGTTCAATTGACATACCTGTCAACACAGAACCTCCCCAGGGAACCTCTACGTGTACTGACCTAACTATAGTGTGACACAGGCAATATAAGTGTGGTCACATACGACACTTTAAAGTGCTGATGACATCAAATGATCATACGTGAACTCGGTTACTTTCAGTCTGTACAATAGAACATACTCAAATTGTATTATAAAACTAACTTGTATCTTCTTGCATAGCCATTTAAATGGAAAGTCCAACAGTTGCTGTCTCCAATAGCAGGTATGATGACTACATGTTATCTTGCTCTACAAGACCCAAACTATCTTCCAACTATTAAAACTGTCACTTCTAAGGATATCAATCTCTTGGAGCTCATATAATGTGCCACTTTTCTTTTATTCTAAATTCAAAGACCAGTTAATTTCAAAGTTGCTTTTTCCCCCCCAAAGAAAGAAAGAAGTATCTAAAAGAGTAACATTGCTCGATATTTGGAAAGAGTTTGTGCAGATGGATCTGCTGTCTTTCTGGGCCCAGAACACCAGCTCGCTCGCTCTCTCTCTCTCTCTCTCTCTCTCTCTCTCTCTCTCTCTCGGGGATTTGCAATCTTGATACACTTCAGTCCTTCCGTACCCTCCTCTTGCGCAGTGACTTTGCCGGGGCATCTCCAGATCCTGTTCCCTCATCAGCTTCTTTCATCTGCAAAACAACCAGGGACAAAATGTTTCCTTCCCTGTGACCTCAGCTGTCGGCAGGCGCGAGCATAGTTCTCATTCTTTAAAGTGTGTGCTCTAACTGTCCAATGCTGTGTTACACGGGCTCCTGTCCTCCACGAAGTTGCCTTGCTGTCTTATTTATTTACAAGTGGCCTGGTGACATTTTCAAAATAACCCTGCTTATCAAATAAGCATGTGGCAAAGACCACTCCTGCCCACCCCTGCAGCATTTTCTTTATGACTCTGAATATGGTCTCAATCTCATAGGGAATGGCTGTGCGATTCCCACTATGGGATTAAACTACTCATCCCATTGTCTGTGAGTAACAAATCCTGAGCTGGCTTTACAGAGACTATTTCAAAACATCTGGAATGAAAGCTTCCAGAAAATTCAGGAGAGGAAAATACGATGTCCTGACAGTTTTCTCTCTTTACCTTTCAGAATGTGTTTGTACCTGACCGCAAACTTTAAGAAAAAAATGCACGCAGGAAGACATCATGCAGCTGGCATCATGTCACGGCTGTACACGCAGCGCACCAAGTTAGTTCACCAAGTGTGCCATTCAAAAATAATTTAGCTTACTGACAAATATATGCAAGAAAGAAAAAGACTAGAGGGTGGATTGAGATAGCTGTCTTTTCAGCAGGAGGCCTGCATTTTAGACACTCAGAGATCGCTGTACATCTTTATCAACAGAGTTATGATTATTTTTACCAATGCACTCTACCTTTACATTGTGTGGGGCTCAGGTGAAGTGCTCCTCTATCAGATGTCAACAACATGTCACACCAGTTTTCTGCCTTCTCTATCGAATTGTTTTAAAATGTCATGGAGGCGCTTACTCAAGGAAACTGGGGGAGGCTGTTCCTGTAGTGAGGCTTACCTCGTCCTCAGACCCAGACTTATCGAACTTGTTCATTTCTTCCTGCGCCTCTATGGTTTCCCCTTCTTCTTCACTCTTCTCTTCCGGTTCACCAACTTCCTCTTCTAGAAGACAGATTTTATTAAAAGCAGAGATTTTGCTATGAAAGGTATTAAGAACAATTAAGGGAGATTAATTTAAATTCCACAATTAAAAAGCAACTTCTACCCTTCAAAACTCAAAAGAAAAAACCTAGCTAATTGTAAATACTTACTACTTTACACTTATAAAAAAAATCATCTTTGAAGTGAAGGGCAAGTTCGTAAAATTAGTATATAATAGACAATGCCCAAATAATTCTCAGCTTTCTGGTAGCCGTGTCTCAGTGACGCCTTCCCTCAGGGTGACCTGTCTTCTCCAGCCTGCTGTCTAAGTCAGGGTGACCTGTCTTCTCCGCCTGCTGTCTAAGTCAGGGTGACCTGTCTTCTCCAGCCTGCTGTCTAAGTCAGGGTGACCTGTCTTCTCCAGCCTGCTGTCTAAGTCAGGGTGACCTGTCTTCTCCAGCCTGCTGTCTAAGTTATCTTGCAAACTGCAGGCATTGCCATTCACCTTTGTCATTCACTGGGTCTCCTATGGATTCTCTTTAGCCAAATTGCCAACTTTGTCACTGTCATTCTGAAAGGACAGGGAGTAAGTGGGGAGAAAGGGGAGAGCAGGAGAAAGAGGAGGAGGATACCACATAATGTGGGATTTCCTTCTGTGTGCTGTGATTACCATTGATTAATAAAGAAACTGCTTTGGACCGACAACAAGGCAGAACTTAGCAAGACAGAGAAAACTAAACTGAATACTGGGGGAAAGAAGGCGGAGTCAGGGAGAAGCCATGGAGCCGCTGCCAGAGACAGATATGCTGAAACCTTGCCAGTAGGCTATGAGCCTCATAGTAAGATATAAAATTATGGAAATTGGTTAAATTAATATGTAAGAGCTAGCCAAAAAGAAGTTAGAGCTAATAGGCCAAACAGTGATTTAATTAATACAGTTTCTGTGTGGTTATTTTGGGATTCTGGACATCCGGGAACCAGCAAGTAGCCTCCTTACTACACCACTGCATGCAAACAGAAGCATGTCTTGAGAGCTATGTAAAGTAAAAACTCACTTTACCAAAAATTAGGGTTGAGGAAATGGAAGGCAGTACACGTCACCTCTGCCTTCCACATATTCCACACGGGGCAGCGGGAAATGCAAAATAAGGCCCTTCTGATACTGAAATAGTCACAAAGTTGCTGTTTGTGAATGCCCTCTAAAGGAGTCAGAAACATCAGTATAAAGCACTAATAAGTTACAAAGACTCTGAGAACTTACAGAGAGCTTCTTTAGAATTTACACCTCTCTCTCTCTCTCTCTCTCTCTCTCTCTCTCTCTCTCTGTCACACACACACCACACACACACTTGTTCTTTTTAAAGAACTTAGTCTTGCAAGTTGTCCTGACTTCCACGTGTGCTCCATGACAAACACATGCACACACACGCATGCTGTCTTTGAGTCGCCTGTATGTAAGGAGCCCCAGGAACACACTGGTTCACTACGTTAGACTTGGGGAGACGTTGTGGTGCTGTAGGTGCCCCACTGAGGTGAGGGTATGTCTGGTCACACACTGTGTGTAAAGAGTCAAGGAGTCTCATAACACAGAGGCTATGCCTAAGGTAGACAGTGTAGACAGGGTGGCTGCTTACAGGGCTGTCCCTCTCAGAGCACTGCTAATCCACACTGCCAAAGTCACGTGTCCTTGGCAGTTCAAATGTGCACATTAGACATGAAACAAGGCACTGCAGGGCTGGACGTTCTCTGTCAGTGCAGAAAGGATGTTGGCTGTCACAGTCTCAGTCACCAGCCCAGCCTCACCCTTTTCAGCGATGATGACATCACTGTCACTTGGCTTCTTTTCCTCTTCCGAATCTTCGGGCTTCTCAGGGGCCTTCTCCTCCTCTGCCCCTTGTTCCAGAGCCGCCTTGGTCAGCGGTTTACATATGTCGGTTGTCTTAGGACCCATGTCTTCATATGTTTTCTGTGGCAGTTAACAAAAGCTGATTTTACTAATAGCAAAGCATGCTTTTTATTTTATTTTTTAAAGGCACAGACACTAATGATTGAAATGGACAGCATGCACTCGCCATCATAACATTTATCTACCATTTCTTTTCACCCTAACTGACAAGGTATGTAACACATGCTTGGTAAATCTCACAGGAAATGGAATTCATTGCATTTACACTGAATTCATTACGCTGCTTGAGTCATACAACTCTGGAACACAAGCAAGTCTGGAAAACAAAACTGAAGAAAGTCTGTTTTCTTTACCTTTACTTTTCTTGGCCAACAAAATGAAGTAACTACTGCTATGGGCAGTCCGGCCATCACAAGGTACACGAGCCAGAGCCACGGGCGCTCCTCTGCCGCGGTCGTTAACTGTCTGAGCACACCGGGCTGTGGGGGAAATCACAGAGCGTTCACCAACGTCCAGTGGGAAATACATTACACACATTTTGTACCACACGCTACACACACACCACACTACAACACTATATCACACACACACTATACTACATACACTACAACATAACACTACACTACATGTACACTATGCACACAGTACATACATACACATTCATTATACACACACTATACACATACACACACCCCACACTACAAACACATCACACATACACACTACATACACTACACACACAACACAACACATGTACACACTACATACACTTATACATACTACACTACATGCACACTA